TTCTGCAAAATTGGGTGGTGTGTTAAAAAGCTAAAAGTGGGAAAAACAGGTCATGTCATTTCTAAGCAAACAGACTGGACAGATGCCATAACTACCTTAAAATAATTTTCTGTGAATGGCTACATGAAAGATCTATTAAATTTCTCATGATTCTACTTTCTCTGTGCATCAGCTGGAGCAACCTCAGTTATCCTGTTCTGGCTTCTTGAGGATTACCACTGTTTTGTTAGCTTTGAGAAAGCTGAAGAATAGGGAGCATAAACAGGAACAGACTTTGTCATGTGCTTTTGTTTCCTTTAATAAGTAACATAAGCTGAGCCAAAATGGGAGATTTCAGTAATTCCTATGGTCACTGGGTTTATCTCAGGAAATCCAGACTGCTGAAGGAAGGATTGGATGCTGTCATGTTGACCACATGAAAGGGTCTTCAGCTCTGCATGCTGCTGCTGCAGCAGTCTTCAGGTACAGCTCCTCTAAGATCCACTAATGACATTCAATATTGTCTGTGACATGTAGCACTTTGTGGTCACTGAAGTTGTTAAAGAGGGTAAAAAATGCTCCTCTCTTCTTAAAATGTCTCTAAGTCTATCTGAAAACAAAGAAACACACAGAATTCACCAGTTAAGTCTGTCTGGTCAAGTAGTACATGAAGAGTGTGCTGTGACCAAGCACAGAACCTCATTAGGTGGATGTCTGCCTCACCTAGAGGAAATAGAAGATGTGCATTTCCAATGAGCTTTGCACTGCACGTGGTATAAATGTTCAGGTAAGCCACTGCACTCCTTGCCTAGAGTACTGTTCGACATTCAGAAAGAAGCCATGTCCAGTTTGTTCCTTCCATACACCACATGGAGCAGCGTTAGCTGGGGGATGTGCAGGAGGGCCCATTTTTGTCCACAACTTACCTGGGCAGCCTGTTTCAGTGCTCTGTCACCCTCTTTGTGAAGAAGTTTCTTTGCATATTTGTGTGGAATTTCCTATGCTCCAGCTGATGGCTGTTTCCCCTTTGTCCTGTCCCCATAGACTGCTGAAAAGGGCCATGTCTCTGACTCCTACACAGATGGTGTATGTATATAAAAATACTGCATTTAGGGGAAAAATAAACTTACCTTACATAGTGCTGACCCTGAAACTAGCAATTAAGAAAAAGGAAAGGAATCATGGTGGTACTTATGGCAGTTCTGTAGATGTTTCTGTGCGCGGTAGTATTTCAAAAAGCAACAAAATCTCATGCCTTGTCAGGAACAGAGTGAAAAGGATCCCCTCACTGCAGTGTGCTACATCTTGAATGCTGCATGCAGTTCTGGAATTGCATTTGAAGAAAGGCAGCTGGGATGTGTCAGGTGAAAATGTCCTGCCCTCAGGTCTGGGAGTGAGGTGAACTCACCAGCTGAGAGGAGATGGCTCTGGATGGCGTTACTATGGGCATGATGCTCAACGTACCTGAGTGCAGTGTTCTGGGTAAGCAGGGCAAGAGCCAGCTACTCGTTAGTAGCTGCAATAGGAGAACTGGAGGGCACACGTGGACATCTAGGGGATTAGTTCAAACAGTGTGAGGGAAAAAGTTTATTTTTACAGAGTAACTTTTCTAGAACTTGTTGCAATGAGAGATTGTAGAGGCAAATAGTATCAGCGGGTTCAGGAAGGTTTCCATGAAGGTGCTGGACAGGAACTTCTAAAAGGACATGGAAGGGACTGGTCAGGGACACACTCTCCTAACATCACATAACTGAGACTGTGGATACTGCTGGAGAAGGAGGAAATGTACTGCAGATAATGACCAGATTTTCCCCTACGCAGCATGTCTGGCTGCTGTCATCACACGAAGCGCTGGAGTAGCTGGACTGTCACTTGGATCCCATAAGATGTTCTGAGGTTCTGGTCTGCAGAAGCAGTAGTCAGTGCCACCTGCAAGGTTTTGTGCTGTTGGAGGTAATGTAAAACTGGAGTTTTGCCACTGTGGAAATGCATTTTGTATGTTTTGAAGAATGACTTGCACAACACACTGAAGGAGGAGGAAGCCGAGGCGACCACACCTATCAGCCGGGACACAAATAACTGCCGCGGTTTTGTTTTCCTCGCGGCAGTGATTCCGAAGGAGAAGGAGCTGTGCGACAGCCTGCGCTGTTACCCGCTTAGGACACGGTCGCCGGGGGAGGCGAAGCACAGCGGGGCGGGCCCGGAGGCTGCGCGAGGGGCCGCCGGGTCTTGCGCCGAGCTGTGCCGAGCCGAGCCGGGCCACCTCGCGTTCTCATGCTCAGGGCGAGGGGTCCCGGTCCGCCGGGCAACTCCCGGGGCCACCGGGGGCTCCTGGTGGTAGGGTGAGTGCGGAGCCGCTCGGGGCCGGCCTCTGCGGGGGGAGCTGTCCGGGGCCGGGTGGGTTGCGAGCAACGCTGGAGGCTTGCCGTTCGGTGCCTGCCATTGCAGGCTTCAGTGAAGGCTTCCGAGCAGACTGTTGCGTTTCTCTGCACTGGAGGAGAGTGCTGTGGATGTACTGGGAGGGATTTTTTTTTTTTCTTTCTGCGGCTGATTCCTGACTTATCTTCCAACGTCATGTAGTCCAGGAAATCAGGAGACACAGTACTTGTGCATGCAGTGAAATGATGCAGCACAAACACCTCCCAGCAGCATCTTGGGCCATGCGCTGTGCCATCTATGTACTTTGTTTTGAAGAGAAAATCAGGGACGTTTTACTGGTGCAATATTCACATGTATGTAAGTCTAAGTTGCTTTTGAAGCCACTGGAAAGGTACTTGGGAGTTCTCTGAGTAATTGTAAACCTTGTAGGGCTGGGAGATCTGATCAGCATGTTCAGTGCAGGTTACTAAAAATCTTTCAAGGGAATGAAAGAGCCAGGATGGAGGGGGAAAGGTTCCTTGCTCAGAGAAATAACTGCAGGTGGAATCAGGAGAGGAGCACGAGGCTTCCTCCTCTGATGAGTTTTCATAGGATTGCTGCAGGGCCAATGACAGCTCAGGTTTGTTGTTGGCTGTGTGAAGGAATTAGCAGTGTCATGGAAGGTTGTTGATGGTACTGAGCTGTGGAAAGCAAAAATCACCTATGAAAAAAATTGAGAAAGAACTTAGAAAACGACCTGGGCAAAAATACAAGAAATGAAATGATGGAGATGTGTAAAGATGGGCTGTGAGCCCACTACTATTGCCTGGGAGATAGGTCCTGGTGTGATGAACAAGGGATAGGGCAGGAAGATCAGAGCAAGCATGTAGAGATGCTTCCTAATGCTGTTGTCCCAGCCTCCAAGAATCTGCAAGTTTAAATGTATGGTAGCTTTTTGGTGGTTATTAGCCAGGGCACAGGTGTGAGATTGCCTCTTTGAATGGGCAGTTAGGTTTTGATGTTCATGTCTTTGCAATCTGTGCAGAGCCCAGAGTAATACAGGAAAGGATAGGAATATGGTTGAGGAATCCTAGCAGTTACATGGCCAATATGCATTTTCTGGCTGAAGGAATTAAGCAAGCTTCTAAATGGAGAGCTATTTCCTTACAGTTACTCATTCACAAATGTACTTTGATGTAATCATGTTGCTGTTCACAGTTATGACCTGAGGGTTTCACTGGGGTGAAATAAGAACTTCAGCAGGTAAAGTAATCTGTTACTCTAAAAATGCTTCTGAAGAGCATTTTGACACATCCGTATGTATTCTGAAGTGATGGGTATGAGAGGTAAATTATGGTTTTGGAAATTTTGTGGAAATTTCCAGTATTTCTGTATGTAGCTCAGGACAAGTTATTTTTCATAAAGAAAGCTGCTGAACAGAGTAAAATTGAGGCTGTGGCATTCTGACCTGGTTAGAATTGGCATAGGCACTAGGTAAAGTAACTATGTAAGGTAGGGGAAAGACTAGCCCAGGACAGAACAAATATGCTAATTTTTGGAAACACTGTCCTCCAATTACCATAGGAATGTACAGAACATACCTAAAACCAATAGGTTGGTAACAGATATTGTATGGAAATGCATCGTAGCAACAGCATTGGAAAGGTGGTGAGCCTGAGATGCTCAACCAGTGAGTGCCAGGAGAGGTATTGCCTGTATTGGACCCAGGGTATATAACAGAATGGATTTCGATGATTAGGTGTGCAATTTCTCCATTGTCAGTAGGAGGTATGCGCCTATTATTGCAATAATGAGTAAACTGCTTTTCACAAAGATCTTTGCCTGATTAGAAGTTTTTGATTTTGAGCAAGTTTCTCAGAATGAGTTTAGCATATTAATGGCAGAACTTAGTAGAAGTACCTGAATTTTAATTAGTAGAATTTTCTCCTATTACAGATTATTCTGCTAAGACCAACAATAATATTGGAGGCACTTCTATGCCTTACTAGGTTTTACTATTCATACATGTGGTTTGAAAGGGATGGTTTCAAAATCTGAGCATGCATTTGGAGATCTAAAAAAGACATTTTCTAGAAATAATTATTCTGGAAATGTATAGTAACAGAAGGCTTGTAGCTTGCTTTTTAATATAGGGAATTTTCAGTACTGGAAGAACTGATGCATTATGACCTGTAAATGTATTGAGAATATGCACGTTTTCTCTTCTAACATCTCAGTTCACTTAAACAGAACAGCCAGGTGCAGAGTTCATAGACTTATTAGTAAGGGACATTGTTTGGTTGGCACCATATCTGTAACTTCTTTTCATGCAGATACATTTGAGAAAACTGGATTTCAGTTAATGATCAGACAGAAATGTCTAGTTAAGCAATTACTGCATGAGCAGTTGCAATTTAGTGACTTTCCTCTGTTTCAGGTGTAGTGAGGTGCTGCTGCAGTTTTTGTGCTTCATTTCAAACTTTAAAGTGCAAAAATGGGTAGAATGCTTGTGGAGTTAAAATGTCCCTGCCAATATCAACCATTCTGTGATGGAAAAATTCATTTGAGTTGCTGTCATCTTTCTTCAGTTGAGGCGTAAGTGTACCTTATTTAATTTTATGAAATTCTTTTTTTTTTTTTTTTTTTTTTTTTTGTGCCTTTAGGAAGGGATTATCCAGAGGTTCTACAAATCAGTATCATTCAGGAAAAAGTGGAGAATCTCTTCCAGCAGTTTTTGAGAGAAATGTGCAAGAAGCCATCAATAACTACAGTTGGTATGCAATAACTTCTGAATAAGTACTTCATTAATGGACTCTTGGCTTACAGTTCCATGAAGAGTAATATTAATTTTCAGCAGTTGAACTTTATTCCTGATTTGTGCTACAGGCTTGCATGTTGTTAGAGCACAGTAAGGGATACAAATTAAACTTGGAAGGGAAATCAGTCTTGGCAGTTAAATTCAGATGATACTAACTAGCTTTTCAGGTCAGTTAACTGTCAGGGAATTTCATTCCAGCTGATGTTGGTTAGCCTTTGCTGGGCTTGTGTGTCTGACTGCATCCCAGGGGTGGTGGTGGTTGATAGGGACCTGCTTGAGCTTTCTGGGAAGTTGCAATCCCAGAGCTCACATTTTAAAGTGTACCAGGTATAACAGAAGGGAAGCCTCTGGGTGCAGATCCATAACCTGATGCTAACTGAAACGTTTGCAGAGGTTTTATGTTCAGTTGTACAGAATCTCCTTGTGATAACTTCTAATAGAGCTAAAGAAGATTTATGTTATCCTTAATGTGTAGTTTTTTATGTGCCCATTAATTACACTGGAGCACAGACAAAATAATTGTTAGAGGTAGAAATGTAAGTATGAGTGCGTGTACTTATATATATGTGCTGGAATATCTATTCATGTTCTAGAGTGCCATTACGGTTACAATGGTACACAAAATCAAATAAATACAGTGGAAGGAATTGCCTTTGAGGCAGTAAATGGTACCAATAGGACCATGTACCCACTGCACTCTACTTTAAAACGTGCACTTAAAACTCCTCACAGTGTCTTTAATTGCATGTCCTGAAAATCGTGCATCTGACAGGCAAACATATTGCCGTCCATTTAAGTGATCAGTTAAATTACTTTTAAAATGTTTTTATAGAAAACCATCATATTCTTCATTTTAATTGTCTTCTTTTCACAGTGAAATGCTTTCATCAGTTTCATCTAGTGGACATGCAACACCCACAGACCTGAATAATTCTTGGTCTGGAATAAAAAGCTGTACTACTGGTTTGTCTACTGAAAGAAGTTCTGTTTACTCTTGGAGGGATGATGTATGTCACAAAAGCTTTTACAGTATACTTTATCCAACTATTCTGGAAAAGATTAATTTTTATGGAAAATGGATGTGTCTTTTAGGAGAAGAGTAAATTGCTTTAATCAGTAATAGCCTATTGATTAAGGATATTAATTGAATATTTTAAAAATAGTTTTGTTTGCAAGTTGATAATCAGCTGATATGTTTTGTTTTGTTTTTAAAGAAAAGAATAAATAATGGAATTGAGATGTAGGTAGTCTTAAGATTTTGAGTCCAAGAGAGGGATAAAATGTGTTTTCAAGTAGTGGATAACATAAGTGATGATCTAAATTTGACTATTTTCAATTTTCTGAGTCATTAAGTACGTTCACGTGTATGCATGCAGACATCCCAATCTAAATAAATATTTAGCTCTTGCCTAAGCTCAGTGGGGTTGTAGGTGGTGCAGGAATAAGTAAAGCCCATTAGTGAGCCTGACCAAGGGGGCAACCATGGTGGCAGCATTCTGAATAAACCTAAAAACACAGCAGTCACCACCACTTTCATTTTAAAAAGCTATTCATTTATGGTGATGGTGTTTCTTACCTTCTACATCATCTCCTCACCTTTAGGGTACTGCCCCCATCTCCCACTTTCAGCCCTACTGGAGGAAGCCTGATGTGACACTATCTGGCCGAGAGTTATTTTCCCATGTCTTTTCAGTGTGATCCTTGAAGTAGTTGGGGAACTCAGGCGGAAGTGAACAGATGTGCTTTGGACCCTGATTATTTCCATTTCCATTTCAGTCTATCAAAGTATATAATGAACATAGCACATAGTAGCATGAATAGGGTGCCGGAATTCTTCAGCAATGTGCTTGTACCTGCCTTGCTGGCCAGAGTCTGGCCCTTTTCTGTTTTCGCATGCTTCTGAACTCATCCAATTCTGGTTGTGCTGAGCTCAGTGAAGAGGTACGTAAGGCAGTTTCTCACACTCAGAGCTGTTTCCCAACCACATGTTATATCTCCTCTTTGCTGTTTTACCCAGAAAGGAAAAGCTCCACTTGAAGAAACAGGATGCTTTGGTGCCTTGTGTCCCAGAGGTGTATGCTGTATTAAAAAGGGAGTCAGGAGTTGTGATACCTTGTAATTGAGGTTTTCTGTTGGCTGCTCTCAGGCAGCTCTGTTACCCACTGACTTCATAAGAAATGTAGGTTTCTAACTCACTGCTGCAGCATCTCGATCAAGCCAACTGCCTCTCTTTTTGCACTGCAGCATATGAATTTTGTCCAAAGTAGGTAATCTGGGGATCATTTTGAGATGCTCAGCCAAGTGTTAGTTGTCCCATTCTTAAAAATGTTCTTTTAAATATAAATGTATATTTAAATGTTTACCAACAACTATTAATTTTATGATATGTAGGAATTTGACGAAGCCAACACACAGAGAGTGCATCAGCTGTTCTGGGATATTGATGAAATGCTGTTTGAAGGAAAAGTGACCTCCCAAACTCAGAGCCTGCAGGCAGAATGCGCAGACTGGGTTGAGCGATCTCTTCATCTAAGGTAAGGAAATTTCTTGCTGTTACCTGTTTTAACCAGTTATCACTCTGAGATTTTGGGCTGTCCTGCTATGAACTGTTCCTGATGTGTTGTATCAGCAGCATTCAGTCCATTCTGCAGTCCAGTGTGGACTTGAGCTGTGCCACTGTTGTGTGATAAGTCTGAGTAGTGCACTAGCAGCTAATGCTCTTTATTCTGTTTGATACGGTGATGGCAGGCCAAGATATTTTATCAGGATGAATCAGGATCACCATTTTCATAATGTCTTTTTCTAATTAAAGAATGCATCTTGTAAAAAAAACACTTGTTTTTACTGCAAGTGAACGCATGCTGTCAAATCCCAAGAAATTTAGTGTTAATTCTGTTAGTTATTTATTTTTAGAAAAAGCAAAAAATGAAAGCAACCACATGCTTCAGTTGCACTGCACAGCCATCTCGCTAGGCCATGTAAATCAGTGTTAGCAATGTATGTAATTAGCCCAGCAATACCTGGTTGAACAGATTTGAGAGTGTATATGTGACTGTTGAGAGTTACTTCGTAAAGATGCGGAAAAATATCTATGTGGCATAATGACTGCTTCCTATAGCACAGAGGGCAGAAGTCAGTGTCATACTGCTTTGAACTGTTCCTGCCTTCATAAGTAAAGACAATTAATTCTTAGAGAGGTTCAGCATCTCTTGGCTGTTCTAGACATTGATCTGCATGTGCTTGTATTCTAGTTAATAATTTGTTAAAATCATTAGAAAGAACTTGTTGATAATGGTGATATGTTTTTAATGCTTTTACATATATCTGCTAGTCACGTGCCTTTGCAAATTAAGCTAAAATTACTTCATGAAGTTTGTCATGCTTTCTCAGGATATAGAGAGGCTTAAGTAAATCTGTGGCACTTTTCACAAGCGTTAAGACACATTTTACCTTTTATAGGGGGTGTAAAAATTGATGGAATATTTATAAAATGGAGACAGGCTTTGTACTGTGCAATTCATTGAAAACATTGTCATTTCACAATTTTTAGAATGTTTTAACAAGATGAACTGTTGAACATGATGACCTCCTGTATGTATGATTTTATGATTCAAGTCTGATGCTGGCGGTACTAAGTTCAAGAGTTTGAAACTAAACTGAATTAATCTGGGAGCTCTGTGTTGTTTTGACCACAGGAATGTAGTATATCCTGTGCTCTTAATAGATTTTATTTGTTCTCTGCATTCATTTGAAAATATTTCTGATGTATTTTGTTTAATATTTATACATTTATAGTGATCTACCAAGTTTGACTTAACTTGATCTTAAAAATTGTATGCTAGAAACTCCTCTTGCATAAGTCAGTTTAACTTTAATGACTTAAATACTAGACAGTACTAGTGTATTACACAAGACTCTGCATCCTTCATGAAGTATTCAAAGAAATAGTATCTGAAGTGTGCTGTTGCTTTGCCTACTGTTTGCAGTTACTTGCATTTTTGATATTTTCATGTCAGATGGATTTCTCTCTAAGGTCTCTCTCTCTCTCTTTCTCTCTTTCTCTTTTTTTCTTCAGGGTTCTGGGAAAGCAGCTCCTGTCACCAAAGAATGAAGGTTTTCAGTACTTCGAAAGCAGAAGTGATAGCTCTGTGGATACTAAGTGTTTACCTAGTCTTCATGAATGTACTAGTAACATAAAAGAGTATGTTAATGTTTCTAACTTTTCTATTTTTTCAGAAATCTTACTTCTTAATTTTACTAAAAATTTTCAGTGTAATTAAATATATGCTTCTTTCTTTGAGTATTTAATTCTCATTTTATTGGCAATTTTTCAGACTCTGCATTTCTGGCTCTAAGTTGATTCCTAAAGTATCTCCAGTACTGAAGTCACCAAGTTCACGTTCCACTGTAATTCATGGCTCTGAGTCATCCACATATTCATTCCTGGAAGAAGAAATCTATGATGCTGATGGAAAAGTGGAAGAATATCTCGCCTTTGACATCAAGGAGCTGTAAATAACAGATATATATATGTTTGTTTGTTTGTTTTTAAGAATAACATGAAAAAATCTCATTGAGCCCAGTCAGGGTTCATAAACTGGATTTCTCTTCTTAAAATACAGTTCCTTCTGTTTCTTTATTCAGTACCACAGTGGTCAAAGCATTCAGTGGCATGTGAAGGACTAGGAACGTTGTCATTCTAGTGGTTCCAAACTCACATATCTCATGTCAGAGAAATGTCTCGTAACCACTAATTGCTTTGGGGCATTTTTTGCATGGAGATCAAAAAAAAAAGTCTATTTAATTTTGACACAGGCTGTAAAATGAAGGAATCTGCTTTCTTTATGTGAATGCCTTGACCACCAGATTGCTTAGGGTCATCACACTGGATGTACTTTCAGTGTCTGCCCTAATGAATCTTAAATCCTTGTTGTGCATTGTAGAACAGCTTTGCAAGAGGTGCAGGATACAGCCTGCATTTAGAACATTCTCTTAAGTGATGAGTAGTACAAGTGTCTTCTTGAATATGCAAAACAGTTTTCCAGTGGACTGGTTGAATGTTCCAGCAACTAGGCTGCTGGGCAGAAGAAAGATCATAACATGCTATTTTCTAAAAGACCTCTGTGGAGGGCAGACTTTAGTAGGACTAGTAGGGCACAAAGTTTATCTTTCATGTTCAAGCTTGATGCATTTGCAGAAAAAGACATGCTTCTGAAAAGATGAGGAACCAGTGAGATCCAGATAGACAATTTAGTGCTATTTTTGAAAAAGGATATGGGCACATGCTTTTTTGGAAAGGTTTGGGGATTAAATGTCCTCCTAGAAGTTAAGAATCGCTTTGTTTTACTGCATAAGCAAAATGATTGGAAGAGGGATCTAAGTGAATGTGTGTTTCCCTTCTTTGTGCCTCTTGTTTCGTGTCTCTCTTCAATTCAATTCTGAAATACATGGGCTGCTTGAAAAGTAATGCCTCCCATTTCATTATTTGGTCCACAATGTGAGAAGTGGATGTTGTTGGTATGAGAGTAGAGGTTGCACCTTCCCACCACTATTCCATTACATGTTGTTGCTGTGTGATGAATGGCAGCAGAGGGACAGTCTGACAGAAAGATGCCTAGCATGGAAGTGCATATGAAGCAAAAATGTGTCACCAAGTTCCTCTGTGTGGAAACAATTGCACCCATTTACATTTATCAATGCTGCTGAATGTTGATGGAGACCAAAGAGTGGATGTGAGCACAGTGAGGCTCTGAGTGGTGCATGCAGCAGTGACAACAATGCTTCACATCCAGTGGTGCAGATTTTTATAAGCATGGCATACAGGATCTTGTTCGTCTCCAGTGAAAATGCATAGTTGATGGTGGTGGCTATGTTGAAAAATATCCTTCTGTAGCTGTGAATTTGCTTTATCAAATAATATAGTTGTGCTCTTTTTATCTGCTGTAGTTTTCTTGGAGGCATTACTTTCAGAGTGACCTATGTATATTTATGCTGTTTAACTTAAATATTGGACATAAAGTTGTTTCTTTGATCACTAGTGGATTGTTGCAGATGTATACAGGTACACAGGACTTGATGAAAAAGACGTGTTATATTTTATTAGTGATGATGAGTGTTTGGAGCAAAAGAAAGTACATCTTGCTGAGAAGAGGAGTAAGCATGGCATTCCTCCTGTTTCTCCAATGGCTTGTATCAGGGATGCTGTGGCTTCTGAAATATTTGATCATTTATGGAGTAATGTAATTGGAATATTGGAGGAACTGATTAAAAAACATTTGGAAACGAATGTCACAGGTATTTGATATTTTTTAGATACAAAGTTCATAACATCTAACTTGGATAATTATTTTTTCCCTATAAGTGAAACTTGAGAAATATGTATATTTGTAGTGCAGCATTGTTATATACAAAATGCCTTACCAGAAACCACCCTACAAATGTACATAAAATGATTTCCTACTAATTTGTAGCAAGTTTTGCTTTAGAAGTGTAAAAAAAGTCAGAATATTGATTTAAAGAACTCTGTTGCTGGAGATGATGTGCTTTTGTTTTTAAATCACTGCTACAAACTGATGCCATTAGCAGGGGATTGCTGGCAACATAGTGTGAATCTGGGAATTTGAGTTTCTATAGAAATAAGATGGTGATTTATACTCAATACAAAAAGAAGTTGGTTCATTCTATCAGAAAATGATAGGTTCAAGACTTCTATATTTTTTTCTCTTTAAAAAAGATAATCTTTGGGAATTTTAAAATAATATTCCAAGAATGTTTAGCAGTATTTTCTTAAGAAAACAGACAAACTAAAAAGCATAAACAAATAGGAAATTCTTTCAGAAAAACAACATTTAATCATTTTCAGTTGATTTTTAAATATCGTGGAAACTTAAAACTGTATCAAATTATCTACTGTGAAGATTAATATTGCTAGAATCTCAGAAAATGCTGTTAAAATACAAAATGCATTTTATTCCCTCTATTTTTATTTTTTCTCTATTGTGCAGAGAGTGCCAAGCAGGCAGGAAAACGTCCAGCTGTTCGTGTTACAGCAGATGTTGGCAGTGTCCTCCTTTCCAGAGGCTCTGAAGCACGAAGTGTGTCTTTTGGATCTCATTTAGCTTCATCACAGGTAAAAATAACCTCAAGGAACCTTTGTTTTTAAAAGATCAAACAAACAAACAAAAAAAATGAAAACCAACCCAACCTAATTTGATAAAATAAGTACTGGCATTTAAAATGGTGGTTAAATGTCCCCACTCCCCCATCACTTATTTGGTGGTTCCTAAGGGCAGCATTATCACTAAAGTATTGCTGAAGCTGATTTAAGAATAAAAAAAATAACAAACTCAACAGACCACAATTTTTTTAGAAATTGAATTTTATGAAAGCCTGTATATTCCCTCCCTAGAAACTAATTCTGCTTTTATCACAGTCAGAATTCATAGAATTTAGATAATCAAATCAGCCTCTTCCCTGGACTGCGGGGATATAAAACTGCAACTTGCTTCAAGTGCTTTACTCAAAATCCTGTGACTTTCAGACTCATTTCTTTTCACCTCTGCTGCCTTTTTCACATGGGGGCTTTGCAGTACACTGCAGTGCTGACAGTAGGGCTTGCCTGTTTTTTCAGTAGCTTTTGTTCGTATTGATAAAATGCCTTTTTTTTTTTTTTTTGGTCCTGCCTAGTGCCTTTTCCCTCTGTCCCTTGGGTCCTGTTTTGCACATCTTGGTTCTTTTCTTTCTAGCCTCTATTTCTTTCTTTCTTTTTTCTCTCTCTCTCTCTTTTTTTTTTTTTTTCCTCATCTATGTATTCAGTGCAAGCAACTTCGTTCTATCCCATCTGATCTTTCTCCAACATTGGTTAAAGTAGCAAGAAGTAGTCCCAGCAGCAAAAAGAAGTGATATGCTCAGCTAAGTGATGTTCAGGCTCTGCAGTCCTGGGTTGGACTGTGCTGAGTGAAAGTTAGAGAATTTAATTCCTGTTAAAACTGAACCTTATGTTGTAAATAAAAATAAAGCTCAGTAACACCTCAGTTTTCTGATATTTTTCTGAAATAATAAAGGTAATGTATTTGCTCCATTTGCTACTTCTGTTGAACTGTCTAAACAGAAGCCTCTCTAAGCAAACAAGTAGAATATCTTTTAACTATGGGCTTTTGGAGGTCTTCTCTCTTTCTCTCTCTCTCCCTCTCTTTATCACTCTCTCTCTTCCTCTTTCACTCTCTAATATACACACACACACACACACACACACAAAATAGAAAGAAAAATTAATGTGTAGTTGTTGCTGTTACTAGGTTCATCATTTCTCCAGCAGCTTCTGTAGTGACTTGAATGGAGTGATGACAATTCAGGCAAAACCACTCCAACAGAGGCACTTTGCAGTACAAAAAATACAGTAAGTATTGATAGGAAACTTTCTAAAATTCTATAATTCAAATAATGTTAAAGATGTTTTACAGCTATGAAGAAGCAGACTTCCTTGTGTGCATCACAAATGTGACTGAATGTTCAGATTTGAAGATTACAATGATACTCTGTTAACAAATATATATATTTTTTTCTTTTATGGATTTTTTTTCCCCCCCTCTCATTCTCCTTTCTTTTTCCCCAGGAATGAACAAGAAGGCAAACCACATAGCATTAGCTCCAGTGCTCCAAATTCAGTGCACACTAGTCTGGGGAGAATTGCTGATAACCATGTTCTCTCATCATCTCGGGTACTGCTGGCATCTGCTAGGAAGCTACCAAGCCATCGTAGGTTACCTTCTCTCACTTCTGATCAACTCTCCTCAAAAGCTCCTAATATGTACAATGGTGAAATCCTTAGGGGGACTAAATTGTGAGTTTTTTCATTTTATTTTCTGCTTTCCTCAGAACTTTACTGAACTTTCACCAGTGAAGGATTTTGGAAAATACTTGAGAACTAATCAAAGATTTATTATTTTATCTAAAATTCAGAGATAAAAATGCAGCAAGCAGAACAGTGTTTTTTTGAGGAGGGGCATTTCTTTGTTTTTTTTTCTTTTGTTTTCTGTTTTGTTACATTAAGTGCTGTTACTTTCTGTGCTGAACTCTATTAAGAAATGTACTGCTTAATAATTTCACGTTACTTCACTGAAGAAGTCTTGAATATGAATTTTCCTAAAAGACAATCTCTTAAAATTCTGTAGGGGTGTTAGCTTGGATCGTTTATCTTCTGGTTCTGCACATACAGCCCGAAACAAGTTACCACCAATAAACTTGGAGGCTGTTAAACAGTATCCTTCGGTTGTACCTCGGTTGCAGCAGAGCTCTGTAAGTCGTTTATTTTTGTACTGGTATAGAACCTCTAGCTGTTTGAAAATAAGTAAATTGCTTGTTATCACTGGTTGGGAAGGGGAAGGGGGGGGAGGAAAGAAACAAGAACAGCCAACCGACCAGATTTGTATTTCTATGAATATGGATTTAAAAAGCTCTTTTCAGTGTCTTGGTCTGTCTGTGTGTGTATAAGAAGTAGAAAATGATACTGACTGGGATTAACACTTATCAGGTTTATTCTGGCCTATTTTTGAACAACAGAAAAAGTAATAAGCAACAAGAATAGAAGTAAATTGGTGTAGTATTCTTTCTCTTCAGAATACAATTTTGAATTTAGACACCAGTAAAGTCATTTTTTTCTAATATAGGACTTCTAGGAATTATAAAGTAGTATAGATGAATACAGATTCAAATCTGTTTGAAAAGCATGAGTAGGTTTAAATGACCTTAATTCAGCACTTGTGGTTAGTGAGAAAATATTTTCCTTTTCTTCATCTTTTATGACTTTTTTAATGGTAATGTACAAATTACGTTAACCAGTTCAGTTGCTGTGTTCTTCCAATGCTCTTTTTGATTTTTCTCAGTATCGAGGACAATATGCTCATAGCAGAGTCTCAAGTGCAGTAACTGGCAATACAGAGCAACAGCCAGTCAGAGAACGAACTGTTACTGATCGGTTTTCAAGGCCCAGTACAACTCATACATTCAGGGTATGTCATGCTGTGAACACCCATTTGTGCCTATTGCTGGTGTATAGGTCTTATTTGCTGGATCTCTTCTGATTTCTTATGTACATGGATTTCTGCTACTTCTAGAGAGCAGGATGCTCAAAGGCTTTTTGAGGATGCGGATGTTTGCAAAGCAGGACTAATGTATGAGGAAGGAATTTCCTCAAGTCTAATACAGCAAACAGATTTTTTGAGGATATCTGCATGGAAGAGTGCAGGTTTTAGTACTGTTTGTAGCTTTGCATAGTCAATATCATACTATCAAATAGTATTTATTTTGTTTTTACAGGCAGACAGATCTCAGAAAAGATCACTAACTCCCATGGATTTTTCTAACCACAGAGGAACAAGTCAAGGATTTTTAATAGGTAAGCAAAGTGAGAATGACTTGAAAGGTGGAAGGCTAGCAAAACCTACTGACCCATTCTACAATGGAGAAATGAAGTGCTCAAGGAGAGCCATCTCAACATGAAAGAATAGGTGTGCTTGGCAGTATCTGCTGGGCCTCATTTTGAAGTTTGCTCACACTACTTGTTCAGAGATGGTCCTAAAAATCCACCAAAGGATCTTTTGGTTGTCAGAATTTGAAAGAAAAATATTTCCCACTCCTCCAATACTTTAGTAGAGATTTCAGTGTATTTACAGTTACGGCAAGATTATGTGGTGTACAGGCTAATTATCTGATTATACTAATTATCTGATTGTAGTAATTAATTTATATAAGAGATGCTGTGAAAATAGAGACAGGTTAGCAAGTATTGATCTGAGCAAGCTGGCGGCAGTGACTCATACATAACACATGAATGTGTTGCTGTTTCTACCGCTATTAATGAACAACATTTTATATTTTCTAGGCTCACAGCACTACTACAGATCCTGTCATAGAAATCCTCTAATTTCACGGAAGAGATTTCAGATTACTTCTTAATCAAGACTAGAAAGAAAGAGAAGCCCTCTGCACTGAATGGAAGACTAAAGCGCTCTATTTGCCAGCTAGTATCTTGTTTGACAAAGAACACATGCAGTATGGTGGTTATTGCTGAACCCTGTGATCCTCCAGAATACCTATATTACCTTGTTTTAAAGTTGTCTAAATCAGATGTTAGATTAAAAATTAGAGCAATATAGAATGAATGCACTCTTTGCAGAGTCAAGATGCTGCTATACTTTCTTCTCAGGCACTCTTCCTCTTTCTATCTTTCCTTATGGAGCTGTTATTCTACCTGTAGAAGTAAATAAGTTATGTTTATGCTGTGAAGTCCTGTTCCAACTTTTTCATTTTTTTTCTCGGTGTTAAAAATGCTCTGGTCTACCCGGACATCAGTTCTATATAGAACGTATAAACAAGAGTTAGCTGCATCTCCTATTCAACACCTGTTCCAACATTTCTGCATTTTTATTCTTTCTGCTTATTGCAGTTGCTCTCTTGTAAATATTTTCTGTCCTTTATTTTTCTTCTTCCTTTAATCCTTTTGATATGAAATTGTTTCACTGCTTCTTAAGCTGTTCTATGCATCATTTGCTGTAGAACTGCTGGGATAAACTGTGGTTATAGGAAGCAGTGTTTGGCCAAACATATTTGTAGATCCTGAATAATTGAACCTGATTGCTGATGTGTGAGTAAGACAGTTTACCCCTTCTTGAGATTTCTTATAAAATATTGGCTGTTACTGTACAAATTAGACCTATTTTTGGTATGCTAGCAAAATGGGAAGAAGAGATTTGGGTTATTTTCTGCCCAAAGATCACAGTCCTTTACATGTCCCTAGCTATTAATACTGCATGCATGCAGTCAGTGATTCCTCCATCCATCATACCCAGAAATTTAAGTAGATGAAGTAGAAGAGCTGTTGAAAACAAGGAAGAGAAAAACAGTTATTTGTCTGAATAATAATAATAGCATCGGGTTCTTGTACTTAGAAACTAACGCTAGTTCTCATCATTTCTTTTTTATGAATGTTTGAGGCTTGGTAATTCAAGGCAAAGAGTTTGTAATATATCTATTTTATATCTGTACTGTTAATAAGATTTCTGGTTTGTATAAATGGTCATCAAATGCTGCATTCTTTTGAGTAAATGAAAGCATTTTTAAGTTACGTTCCTGGTTTGTGCTATTTATTGGTTGTGCTATTTATTCAGTGTTGGTATTTTGATATATTGTCTTACAAAGCAGAAGACTTCTTTGGTATTGCATGTCAATTTAATTCAGTTTGTTCAAAAATGTCAGGTCACAATTCCATGTGATCTCAAAATTCAGACTTAAGTATTCTACAAAAGCTTGCTCCTAATGTTGTTCTTGTGAGTTCTTTCTCCTGTGCTATATAAATATGCACAAGACTGTATGGAAAAGATGGTAAAATATATCTCTTACCATCCCATGCACTCCATGGTAACCCTGATGTTAGGTTATTGAGTAAGTGAAAACAGAAGTTATGTGCTTGTTTAGTTCTATAATGACAAAAGTGGAAACTACCTCATTGGAGAGATCTGGCACTTTGTAAAAGAGAGAAGGTTGCTGTCACCTGAGGACCTTTGGAATTAGACACTGGAGAGGAGAGCAGCAAAACATCTGCTTCAGAAGGTTAGTATCAAAGAAAAGATCCTGTGTATTACTGGAGGCACAATGGAGACTATTAATGTGGCACAGGAGAGGGAACATGGAATGGGTGACTTCAACTGCCAGAATTATAGTGCTTTCCGTCAGATTTTGGGCTTCCAACAGAATCATGGATTGTCCTACCCTGGTACTCAGTGCATTGGATAGAGTTTTCCACAATTCCTTTCTATTTCTTTTTATTTTTTTTTATTTTGGAGGGGGTTGGAAAGTGGAAATGGTTGAAGTAATGAGTTTCACTTCTCATACTAGCAGCACACCTAAGTATTTATTTGGTACACCTCTGCACCAAGCTTCGGGCTTTGAAGCCCAGGTAGCATTATGAGGATGGAGGATGCCTGAGCTTTTCAGCATTGACAGTGTCTTTTCAAATGAAGACATACTATGATGTCATCTTTATTCAGGTGAGAGCTGTTGCCTGCTCTAAAAGTAATGCCTCCTATGTTATTAATTTGGCCCACAAGGTCAGAGGCATATGTTGGTCATATGGCAGTAGAGGATGAACCTTTCCACTAATATCGTGTTACATTTTGTTGCCATGTGTCAGATGGCAGCAGAGGGACAGTCTGACAAACCGACATCTGACATGGAAGTCACATGAAGCAATGATGTGAAACTGAATTCCTCCATGTGGAAAATATGGCACCCACTGACGTTCACTTTTGCTTGCTAAATGTTTATGGAGATCAACCAGTGGATATGAGCACAGTGTGATTGTGGTTGGTTCATTTTAGCAGTGACGGTACCTACAATGTGTCACCTCTGCTCATGCAGATTTTTATGAGCACAGAATCCAGGCTCTTGTTCACTGCTGGTGAAAATGCATAGCTAATGTTAGTGACTATGTTGGAAAACGTTGTTTTGTAGCTGAGAATTTGTTCTATCAAGTACGGTTATTGTTATTCTCTTTGTGTCTGTAGCAGTTTCCATAGAAATAAATAGGAGCTGTTACTTTTGGAGCAACGTATGTACAAAATTACTTGTTTTCCCTATGCCTTTCAACACATTTTCTGCTTTAATCCTGTTGTAATCATGCATGTGGATATCAACTGCAAATGAATTATGGTGATTGCCAAGTCAGCAACTAGTTTATCTTTCTTACCATGAATGCTGTGTTATTTTACAATGGATGGCAGAAATGCCCTGTAAGCCTTTGCTATAGCAAAGAACTAACATAAAGAATGTATCACAGTTTGTTTTTCAGAATATGTTGTGTACTTCTCTTTTGACATTCTGTTGTACCAGATCCATTTCACCCTTGCTCTGCTATAGGAGTTATTTTTCTTTCATCAATGATGATTTCATTGATTTCCTCATCTGCTTAGTGACAGGCAAAAGCCTGTTACCTTAGTTACCTTAGCCTGTGGACTGACACAACTGCTTGATAGTGTGGCAACTCAAACACACAGACTTTCACTTAAATAAGAGGCTGGGTAAAAGAAGATTTGCCCTATTACACATGTTTATGAAGGCAAACTGAGAGAACTGGTAGTGTCTACTGAAGCACAACACTGAGCAAATGGCTCTCTGGGCAAAAAAGGTATAGCCCCACAAGCTAACCACAATCTGGTAAGAACTATTAAAAGATATGTGTCTCTCTTGCAGAATATTCTCCTTTGGAGCTCAGTGAGCAAAGGTTTGTAATGATTGTGAGCCTCAGGGACACCAGATTTCTCATTTCTTCTATTTAGGTGTATCTTGTGTTTGTATCAGCATCACCACTGCCAGCCGCTGGTAGGTACCTGCAGTGTTAGCTCTGCTGTATTTCACTGTTTTTGTTTGTTTGTTTGTTTGTTTGTTTTTGGGTTTTTTTTTTTTTTGAGTTATTTTTCCCCCTGGAAGGAATTGTCAGCAGTCAGAAACACAGATTATTTGCTCAGAATCATGATTAACCATTTCTTCTATTTATCAGCTTCATGATAATGAGCAAAGAATGTAAAGAAGTATGTAATTACCTAGATGATCTCCTTGCTGCAATGCAGAAGGTGTGCCTCTTAGTACAACCCACTTCCCCACTTCCCTTCTTTCCTCCTTCCCTCTTTCCCTCCCTCCCACCTGAACAAAAGAGGGAGCTGATGGGAATATAACTCACTGCATTTATAAGACAAGGTATGGTATATATCTGCTTCTTTCTGTAATTAATCATTACAAATAACAGTGTTAGTAGCAAAGTTCATTGCCAGCTGTTTACTGTGCAGAAAAAATGCAAGTCAGCTCTTATGATAATGTGCTGACTAGGAGACTGCAGGAATGAAGTGCTAAAATTTATTCCACTCTGCTATCAAGAGTAATTTTAATTAATTGTTCGTTCCTTAGCTTCTGATGTTCTTTCTCTATCTGTATTTCTTCTCTTAATTGCTAGTATACTCCTGAGGCAGTAAAAGCAGCAGAGCTTATGATCAGTCACAAAACCACAGAATGGTTTGAGTTGAAAGGGCTATTAAAGCCCACCCAGTTCCAAATCCCTACCATGGACAGGGCTGCCAACTGATAGGTAATGCTGCCCAGAGCCCCATCCAACCTGCAATGCTTCCAGGGATGGGGCATCCACAGCTTCTCTAGTCAGCCTGTGCTAGTGCCTCACCACCTTAAGATTGAATGATGATTTAAAGCCATTTTCCCTTATGCTTTCACTACACTTCCTGATAATGAGTCCTCCTCTTCAGTTTTTCTGTAGGCCCCCTATGGAAGGTCTCTGTAAGGTCTCTCTGGAGGCTTCTCCAAGTCTGGGTAGCCCCAGTTCCCTTACCTTGTCGCCTATCTTAGGAGAAGTGCTGCAGCCCTCTGGTAATGCCTGTAGCCTCCTCGGGACTTGCTCCAACAGGTCCATATCCTTCATGTGCTGGGGGCCCCAGAGCTGAATGCAGTACTTCTGGAAGGGCCTCATCAGAGTGGAGTAGAGGGGGACAGTCACCTCCCTTACCGCTTCTGATAATGTGTATTTTACTTCTACCCAAGCACTGTGCAAGTTGCTTGCTGACCTTAACTACATCCTCCTTAGAATCTGACATCGCTGGGAGCAGCTGCAGAGAAACAGCCTGTGCCTCTCTATCAGGTTCCTGTGCTGCCACCAGGTCAGTATGTCTGTGACACTGGTGCTGGTTGCTGTTAGTTATGTTACACGACTTTAGCCAATGGCTGAGAATTCAACAGTGACATGAGCAAAAGCTGAATGGAGAAGCATGTATGATGCCTCCCTCCTCTCACAACCAAACTAAAAGGGAGTCAGTCCCTATCTCAAGAACTTCAGGCACTGTGTGGCAGACCACTGCAGCAACCTCTGCCCCGAGCATTCAAAAATGCATGAAGAATAACAACAGCAATGAAACTGTTAAAAGCACTCATCCTCCCCATATAATCTCAAAGATTTTCTCTTAAAGTGATTTGAGGAAAGTTTTGGTCTGTGAAGGCTCCTGTTCTTTGTTTGAAGTGGTGCATGGAAATGGTGCTGTTCCTTGAGCCCTGCCTGCTCCGCTGTCCCAGACTGCACACAGGCAGCTTCTCCACATTCTTGCTTATGTCATTGTTTATTTTTGTGGTCTAGAGCTGTGCCTCTGTGTACTGTGTTAGCTCCGCCTCCCGCTCAGGGACAGATTCAGGCTCTCTGCTCACTACCAAGTGGCAGCAGAGGGAGTAGGCAGTGCCAACTGGGACTGGCCCAGGGGCCAGAGCTGCTGGCAGGGAACAAGGCTTGGTCTGGAGCAGGGAGATGGCAACAGAGATCATGCTAGGAACCATGGAGGGAATGCAGCTGCTGCCCTGGGTGGCTGGAGCCATCACCCTGCTGCTGACAGTGGTGACAGTACGCTCCCTACCCTCCTTGATGAATTACTGGTGGTGGTGGCGGGTGATGAAGCCCATCCCAGGCATCAGCCCATGCTACCCCTTTGTGGGAAATGCTCTCCTGTTGGAGCGGAAAGGAGAAGGTAAGGACGGCTCACCTGCCAGTTGTGGGGTATTGGCACTACGTGGGGCTTGATACAGGAACCAGCCTTGGGAAGGTGTGTGGGTGGCCAAGTCATGGCTGGTGGCAGGTGGCAGAATGTGCCATTGCCTATAGGTATCTCTTGGACTGTGGACTCCTACAGAGGAAAACTGAGAAATGAACAGTGGAGGAGAGAAACAAAATGTTATAAATGTGGTATTACTATTAGTGAAAGATTAGTTGGAGGTTGAATCTGATAGTGTTTTTCAGGTACTACTGCTTGACTTGGGACTCTTCCTTGCTCTTAGAGATGGGGAGTGAAAATGCTGTCAAACATATTTTTGCAGGAAGTGTGCTGGGCTGTCTCCACAGGAAGTACTGTTTCTTAATACAGACCACTGTATCCATAGCACCGGTCATATCTGTAATCCAAACACAGCTTTAGCTTGGGAAGCAGAAGTACTTCAACAACATTTTTTTCCTTAGTGAGAAAGTGCAAGGGAATTCCAGCAAGCTAAACTACTATGTCGTTT